AGTATTCCTGACAACAACTGGCAATATTTAGCAGCGTCATCTGCAGAGACCTGAATTTTGCAGCCAGTCAATACTGAATATTAAAGCAACCTGGGAAGTTCAAAATCCTGCTGTTCCTGTCTTCCACTGCTGACGACAGCAGACAGAAAAACAGAGCTGCAAATAACTTAGAAGTACGCATCGCAACACTGATTCCTTTCATAGTCCCGTGTCGCTTCCAGCTCCCACTTGTTAATGTGCTTACAACAACCACGCTCTTCACAACACTGTCACAGGCAACCGCACTTCAACAAACCAGGTCTAAAAATACTTTAATAAAGTTAATTGACAAGATATTTATTTAATTATTTGCTCAGCTTCATATTTGAAACCTCAGATTGTAAATGGTAATCCTATTTAAAAGCCCCAGAAGAGGTATCAAGACTTGAAGCCAAAACCATTATACCCTCTCACACCTCTTCAGCAGACCATGCTAGTAGGGATTTTCTCAGAATTAGACTGTCTGAAAATTCCCCCAGAAGAGGTTGTCACATATAATGAGATGGCAAGTGCTGCCACGCAGAAGTGTGTGTGTGTGACGGAGACCCGTGCATCCCAGCCGCCCAGCGCCGTGCCCACCACACAGCCACTGTGTGTGGTCAGAGCTCCGTCCCAAGCTCATTGAGATTTCTGCTGAGACTCCCAATTCACAGCGCTTTGGAGCAGGCCAGGAACCCAGCCAAGGTCAGACTGAAAGCAAGACACCACAAAGTCCTTCAGGTATGTTGAGCCTGTAATGTTTACTGCTTTATACAATACACGATAGAGCTTTAAGTGCACGAAGTGAGGTCCTAAAATGAGACTGTAGGCAGCAGTCCTCTCTCAACAATTTGTCCAACATAATGCAAAGACAGGAATATAGTGCTCTCCAAGCGAGGTAAGTGCAAAATCACAAGCTTTACAAATAAAGACACTTCCAAAAATGATTACACTGGATACATCTCCTTAGGAGGAAAAACCCTGCTGCTACTGCCAAGAACTTTTCTACAAACCGCAACGCCAAGTCTTGGCTCTTCTTCAAATTCTTGCCCTTTTCATCATAGCCAACTTTCCTTGTTAGCGCTTCTTTGGTGTAGCGCTCAGAGCAACACGGGCAGACAAAAGCCTCTTGCACCAGCCCACCAGAAGTTACTGTGCCCAATAGTCTGTTTTCAAAGTGCCCCTCCTGCAGCTTCCACACAGGGGAAGATTTATTTTCAAGGAGCTGTCATCTAAAGTCTGTCATACAATTCCTTTAAATTTGCCACACTGAAGAGTTCTGTAAACAGATGGATTAAGTGACATAGATTTTTAAAAATTTCAAATACTGCACTATAATTTACATACATATTGCCATGGGAACACCTCAACAAAACACCTTATTTTCAAAGAAAACTGGCATTTCTTCACCAGGGGCTAAAGGTACTCAGTGTTTCTGAAAATGGAGCGCCAATTTTGGTGTCTAAACAGGGACTTTACTGATATATGGCCATAACGTTTTATGTGCATTCTGCTCTGGAAAGTGATTTTATATAAAGATAGCACCTTTGCAAATAATCAGATCTGTCCTTTGTGCAAATTCAAGGCAATATATCCCAGTTTTACTGTCTCAAATACTGTTTGCTCCCCTCAGGACAGCAGACTATTTTACATTCTTATGTCTTGAATGATTCAGGTAAACTTCTGTAATCCCATCAGAGTACATGAGCACATGGAGAGCACGAATGGAAGACACAAGGACATAATTTGGTACATAAAACCAGTTTCAGAGGTGAAATATGAAAGAACCCAGCTTAACTGAAATGTCCTAGCATGTAGTTGCCGGGCTGCCAGCATGGAACCAAAAGTAAAAACAAACCAAAGGCCCACTATATTCAGCTCTAAGCTGCTGTGTTCGTAAGTGAAATCTCTAAGATTATACATACGACACCACAGCGTTATTTTTACAAGTCAGGTTTCAGAACAGATCTACTTTATTGCTAGCTGCTATATTCAGAGAATAAAAGATGTTGTAAAGTACTAAACTCCCAAGTTCAGGATCTAGAACATACACATGAATAAATTCATTATTTTTAAATTTAAGTCCTTTAAATTTTAGGCAGGATTACTTTTTGAAAATGATACTCTTCATATGAAAATTGTAACTGTATATTATATTTAGGTATTGTATAAAGCATATAAAAAATTCCATCTCCCTCAGGAATCAAGCCGTTTGCCAGCAGGATGTGTCAGGGTGCTGCCTGCACCAACAGGCTCTGCAGCTGCCATTCCCCTCCCCAGGGGTTTGCCTGCCCATACTCAGAAAAAGTAAATGTTTCAAAAACAGTACATTCTTACAAGTTTCATGAAAAAAAACCCAGAAGCCAGAGACAAGAAACTCCTGTAGTGCATTTGCTAAGGAGGGTGCCACGGCAGGTCTGGCATCGTGCGACGGGCAGGATGCTCACCTCTGGAGTCGTGGCAGCGCACGCTGCCTCCAGCTTGGTGGGCGTGAATATACCGGCGAGAGACAGCTGGGGTGAGTGTGACGGGAAAGGGAAATAAATTAGAAGGCAGGATAAAATTTGCAGCAAACTGGGCTGCATGTGGAATACATCTGAAACCTTCATGTGTGTCGTTACCATGCAATAAAACATGACATAAGCTGATCATTTAATCTTTGTGTCTGGCCCAGCCTGGACACTGGAGTAGGGGTAGCAGTTAGTTTCCCTTTCTTGCTTTTATCTGTACTTGGCATAATGCTTTGCTTTTATTTTTCCCACTGTACAAGAGAGTGAATAATTCATAGATATATGCAGGATATGATCCAAACCCACAGGTAAGACAATGGGCTCTGCATTAGCAGTACAAAAGCCTTCACATGGAATTTATATTTCTTTATTTATTCTTAAATCATGTATGAAAGTATTTAAACCCTTTATGAAATACTAAAGTATCAGACATTCCCCTTTCCAAAATGTCTTGAATCTTTATTGCTTTACGGTGAACAACGGGTTATGCTAGCTTCACTTTGAACAGGTATGTCTGACTTTGCCTCTTCCTATTGTCCTTCCAAGTCTTCTTTGGTCGACTTGGCAGTGCTAGGTTAACGGTTGGACTCAGTGATCTTAAAGGTCTTTTCCAACCTAAACGATTCTGTGACTTCTATGGCTTCTATATAGACAAAGTCCAGAAGCTGCATACCAACAACCACATACATTGCAAAGTCAAGAGGAGGGAGGCTAAAATTGTGCAGAGTTGGAAAAAGGTGAAAATAACAAAAAAAAGCCACCCCAAAAAACACACCAAAAAATCACCAAAACCAGCCAACCAACCAACCAAAAAAAATACCCAAAAAAGGGAAAAGATCAAGAAAGTAACTTGGAAAGGATAAATAAGTTTCATGTGAAAAAGGGACCTGAAGAATCTCAAAGACAGAAGAGAAGAAACATGAGGAGGCTGAAAGGCAGCAGAACTCACTGTGTACAACGGCCTGAAACTAAGAAAATGATCCTCAACCCTGGAAATAAAAGCACCTCTCCCTCCCCTGGTACAGGCAGCCCAAGACCTTCGCTGAGCACCACAAATACCCCCTGTTAATTGTCCCGGTTTGAAAACCCACCTTCATCCCAGCCGCGGCTGCCGGCCCGCTGGGGTCCACAGCCTGGATGTGGCAGGGCTTGCTCCCCCGCACCACAAAGCCCCAGCCCACCGCGTCGCCGACGATCTGGAAAGAGAAAAAAAGGACGTGATCGCCTTCGAGCAGCTCGGTGAAATTCAAGGGGGTAACATCTAAATGGTTCAAGACATAATTTCAACATCTCTATACTTCCAACACCATAGTAAAGGACGCTGTGTACAGGCTGCTATATCACTCATGGGAAAGGCTCTATCCAAATGATACCTCTTGCTTTTAATGAACGTTAAGATGTTGAACTAGGAGGCTGTAAAAAGCAATGTTTCCAATGACTAGGCTCAAAAATGTCTTTACAGAAAGGCTTTCTCTAATAGTGAATATGAATCAAAATTTCTGTCCCATCATAGGCTAGAAGGACCTAAGTAGAAAACTTCAATTTGGGGAGGTAATCCACTCCTGCAGTGCAAGTATTACCAGGAGCACAAAGTCTAGATGAGTTTGTATAATACAAATGTCATTGGCTTTACACTCCATTTAAGTCAGCAGTACTACATTGGCATAAAGACAGGATAAACAACGGCAGAATCAGACCTGAAATGTGTGGAAGTACTGATAACGGAGTTTGGGATTTTAAAGTACAAACCTCAGCAAATGCAAATAAGCTCTAATTATTTCATCAGAAAATGTCTGTTTGGATTACCTTATGCATGCAACATGCAGGAAATAAAGAAAAATACTGGAGACATACCGTAAAAGTTTTTCTTACATATGGGGCTCCAGGCATCAAGAGCTCATCAGCAGTCACGGGTCTCTTTAATACTGTGGAGGTACATAAATGAATATTCAATATAAGCATTCCTCTGGAGTTTTTCCTAATAAATAAGACACAGCGTTGGGATACATCTTTTTGGTCCTACTTCCCATACACTCCAGTTCTTGCAGACTTGCTTGAAACTAGTAAAAGAGCCAGGGAAAAGACTGCAGAATAACTCTGAGTACAAATGATCAGATCTTTGGAAAATCAGGCTGTTCAGACAACAAAGTCTGTTGTCTGCAATCAAGATCCACTAAACACTATCACAAACATCAGAAGTGGCTGTTCCGGTGTCCAGTGTTGAAATAAGTGACCGACCTTCCTGGCATGGAGTAGCTTTTCTTCCCGGCTCACTCTGTGCATGTTGGGTGCTCTCTGCTATTTCATCTGAGTCGGGTTTGAATCACAGAATTAAGTAATAAGAAAATTCTGCTTGAGTCAGGAATTATCCCAACAAACAGATTTCTGCAATTGTAGGCACAGACATCTAACTCCATCTTATCCAGGGACAGCCTAGGTAATCTATAGCTGCCTGGGATTTTACATGAAAGGAAATACCAGTGAGTTTCTGCAGGTGATTCCCCGTTGCCTTGCTACGTAATGGGGTAATTTTCCCCTGAACAAAGTAAATGTAAAGTTCTGCCAAATCAAATCGATACCATTCTGCATACCAGTTTTTATCTGTCTATAAATGCTTCACAAGATGGAGGACAATGGGAAAATATATGTTGTTCACCATATTTGCCTGCTTCACCTCTAAAATTATGGCTGCTTTTCTTTCAGTGATAAATAATTTTGATGATGTCTGCCTTTTGAGTCACAGGTGGAAGATAAAATTTCCCACAGATGGTATTCAAAGACATTCATGAGTTTCTTAATGGCATTCATGGGAGCAGGGAGAATTCTAGCATACAAACCAATATGTATTTTTTTTCTTTCCCACGGATTTTGACAAACTGTCATTTAGCCAGTGTTACGCTTTGCAGAGCATGCCTGGTCGATGTAAAAAAACCTGAATGATTATGCTCATTCGACAAGTCAGAATCAGGTAAATCATCCACGCAGGACTCCCTTGTGTGCCTCCCTTCATTATACCTCCAGAAATTTTTTTTGTTTGATGATTGTTTTTCTACATGACTGGTCAAGTCACGACTTGGGGGTTTTTTAAGTGTTTGCCTACAAGAGAACTCATCTGACAATATACCTCTCTGCCTTGTGTTTATTAGCACGCAGTTTAGCGACATGCTCTGGTTCTGGATAGCGGGAAACTATTTGTGAAAAAAATCACTTTATAGTCCAGCAGAGGATTAAGAATTCCTCCATAACATTTACATCTGACAGCCTTATGTTAACCTCTGTGAGATGACCTGTGGATCTGTACTTGCGCTATGGGAGAAATTACCCTACATTGCCCGTAATCGTATAATTCTTAAAAATAAGTCTGCTTATAAGTCTGTTGTTGTCTTCTTTCATATATGAGTCTGTTAATGCTATTCAAAGTTTGAAAACTAGCCCTAAGGGAGAATTTCTTTCAAAAAATTAAGAATTTATGCAAGGGCAACATCAGCTTGTCCTTTTTCTTCCAGTGTTGTGTAATCAGCTGCATTAAAATAAACTTGCTCTCACTACTCAAGGATTGACACTTCGTATATAATCAGAACCATAAATGAATGGAATAGTCGGCATACTTCAGATAACACACACATTTATGGACAGCACATGAATGCTGCTTTATCTGTCCCAGAAAATTTTCCAGGATGTAATTAATGATGTACCGGATCCAAAGAGCTCACCATACAAAATCCGCCAGAGCTTTTCTGGGAAGTATATTCTGCCAAAACACAATAATGTGGCACTCTTCATATAGGGGCAAACACATTGCATATAAGGGTAAACACATCGGAAGGTGGTGCCGAACGCCCAACAGCAGCGTACTCCAAGGATGCAATGACCACCAGCACTGAGAGCATTCCCCCAAGCTGGACAGCAGGTCTGGCGTAGGGGATTATGGCTTCTGCAATCATATGGAGTCCTTCAAATTATTTTTATTTAGAGCCTTATACTGAATTCTCAGGAGAGCCTAAGGAGAGGGAAGGAAATGTGCTCAAAGGAGAAAGAAAGAAAATGTCCCCATAACTATGCCTTTCA